ATATAAATTTAATTGACACCATTTACCCGATAAACCTTAGTGTTGAGACAAGGCTTCCGTCTTCCGTTGCATATTGGAAGGAGTTAAAATGTATTACTACGTGCTTTTCTAAGTTTTCTTTAGTGAAACGGCGACGTTTATCACTTAATATTAACTTGTGTAGAGAAAATTACTGTTTACAACGGACAGTATGAGAAATTGTTGAGGCATATATTAATATATTTGCTGGTTTTTCAAAATGGTGTATCCCGGATTTGTGTCCAACGCTCTTTGCATTTTTTCTTTTATCGTACTACTGACTGGGCGTATATTATTGGTATGGTATATATTTTTGTACATCATCCATTATATCAAATGGAATATGGACGAGGCATGGCTCTTCAAATATATTGTCATTTTAGTTTTGTAACAAGAATTTATAATGCGTTCACACACAGTACAAAACAGGTCATTCCCTTCAATGCGTATGTCCCTGTAACCTTCAGGATCACTGTCAAACCACATTTGAAATATCTATTTCTTTTCTCTTTTTGGCATTTTACTTCACTTTTCCCCCTAACTAATAGTTGTTAATGTAAATTATGTTACTATTTCTAAATAGTTATTGAAATACACGGCGAATACAATTTACAGCAGATGTAAAAAAGAAAGGTACCTATGCGACACGAACTACTACAAGGTTCCGTAAAAAAATGAACAGTTCAAAACACGAGTCAGCTGTGAAGGCCACCGATCCTCGCGACGGCTCTGTTAGACTCTGCCCGTGCACTAAGCCTAATTATAACCTGTTGACTGACTCAAATTAATCGATATATGTAATTCCTTTAAATGAAAATATACTGATTATACAAAAAATAATTAATTAAATGGACCTTTTGCTGTAATATAGGAATGAATTTTTATCACTGGCAGTTCCTTGTGTAAGCTTTTGGAGGAGAACAATGTGACAAAAATTAACTGCTGGCATTTAATAAGAGCTGGTATTTAGTTTTTTTTGTACCTTTGCCCCTAATGGAGCCTAATTAAATGAAATGGTTAGGTAAAGGAAAGGACTGTATAAAAAATACATTAATTGGAACAATATCAAGCCGTAGGGTAAAGCGAAATAAACGAGGTAGCTTTTTGAGTGAGTTGGAAAATCTAAGTGAAAAATATAAAAAGCCAGTACCTAATTATTTTTCAGGTAAATAAATTGTTGTGTTTTTTTCTTCTCAAATATGGAACATGCTTTGAGTATCCATTTCACTGCAATTCGTGTCATCAAACGAAGAACAAATTTTGCTGCAACTCGATGCATGTTCAATTTTTTAGCGAAGATTTCATGGTATGTCCCAATAGACCTTTTTAGTTGACAATTGATTTTCTACGTTTGATCTTGAACTGACCTTAAACCAGAGCTAATCGTGTCAAACGGACACCGGATTCGGATTCAGTGATCCCAAAACCATATGGATACCATGGTCTTGTCTTTCGGACCTGCCACTTTTTCTTTTGTGGGGCTGTGTAATCTATGTTGATAAGTAAATAGTTGTCTGTACCTTGATTAAACTGTAAAAATTATGTGAAAGAGCGCAGTTCGGATGCCTTGAGAACAAACTCGAAGTAAAAATTATCTCGCGCAAAAGCGAACCAAGCCTAATTGATGTGAAAATCTGGTATCTTTAAAATAAAATTGGCGATTACCTACAAATCTGGAGAGTTCTTGTCGCTGAAAAAGCTGAATAAGGCGCTAATGGCTTCGGGGACGTGTTCGAGGCAAGCCGCGTCATTTTGTGCTCACTCTCCATCACGTTAAAGCTCTTTCTTTGTCTTAAACACTCGCCAGGCGTGCGAATAAGTGCTATCCTACTTTTCTATATTATGACGAATGCGCCGATATTATCGCATTTAAAGCGGTTGATGTATCGTTATCAACTTTAAGAATAATAACCTGTACTACTAATAATCTCGTAAAAATGTTTGATAACTTACTGAGGGAAATTCTGAAATTTGCGTGGAAATATGGAAATTGTACGTAGATATTTATATCAATGGCGTAGCAAACCTTAATTTTCTTAGAGTATAGTTCCTAAAGACCAAATTTTAGTCTAGTATGTAGACTTGTTACATTTTGTTGTGCTAAAGTTTGTTTTTGTAACAAACAACTCTCATCCAAGTTTCATTAATTTACGTCAAACATCCTCAGAGATATTTTAGAAATTATGAGAGTATGTTCTAATTTTGGCGCACCCAATATTTCAAAAATGAAGCAAACTACGACCAACTTTTTTCTTGATAATTGTTCTACCATTTAGCGACATTTCCTGATAAAAACCTGACCCCCCTGAATAGACCAGAGCAGTTTTTCCTAAAACGAATTCTAAGAGTTCTACTATCTTGTAAAGGTTGGGTACGAAACAATTACTCAAACTGTTCAATAATCTTTTATTATGGGTTCCCCTAGCAGGATAGTTACCATTTTCCTTAAAAGAAATATACTTCAAAAAAACATCTCTGAAGAGATCGACGCATAAAAATTTTCAAAGTATTAACGTTTTTTAAGTCTTTACAGTTTCTTAATATAAAACCTACAGTCTTATTGGCATTAATAACCAAATTATTAATTTGAGTAACAAATGCAAAGGTAAATTCTTTACACAATCTCTTCTTTAAAATGTAATAATATTAAGTGAATAATCATAAGTTTAGATTTCATTTTTCCTAGAAAATTGTACCTTGGTTAATATTTAACATTACACGATTTGCGTTACACCTTTTGCCAATTAAGTTGGCTCGAGTCTGTAAATATACGAGTATACTCTTCACTGTCAATATTTGTATACATTTGAAAATCACCTGCAAAAAGAAAATTATGGCACTATATGGTATTAGGAAAATCATTATAGGCTGTTTGGAAATGAAAGAAAGTAATAAAACCCCGAGATAAGAACCGGCCATGGGCGTGGTAATATTTCGTTTCAGGTAATTATCGGGTAACACTAATGCTAACAGGTAATGGGTGTACATTAGTATATTTTACTGGATACATCATAGGGCAGGAGCCAGTGTATTGTGACAGATCAATCCAGTCTTAGAGCTGAATATACGAAGACGTGCTAGTGCAGTAGAGTAAAATTCGACTTGTGTTTAGTGACTATTGTGCCAGTGGATATAATATTGTTTGGGTAAAATGTCGAGCTTATCAGATTACGTACCTGCTAAACGCGTGAAAAGATGTGCGCTGTCTCAGAATGAGAAGATTATTATATTAAATGTATTTAATGCATTGAAACACCAAAATCCTACCAACAG